CAGTGGCACCGGCAATGATGATTCTGTGTTTTAAGCCTGCAGCAGCATGCTGGAATGCAGCAAGATTAGTTATGCACCTCTCGTTGTCAAAGGCCGGGCCCATCGTTGAGCAGCAGATCAGCATGTACCATGCTGAACCCGTATGATCCCTCGCAACGTCTCCCCAGACCCCAGGCTCCAACCCACAGGCTCAATGAGTGTAAACAACATGAAACAGCCACATCTATAAGACGTCAGACAGTCACTAGACTATCTGTCTTCATGTGCCACTCCCACCAAGCACCATGCCGTATTCATGAACAAAGGTCGCCCCAAGACTAAAACCTCCATGCCCTGTACGCTACTTGACCATGCGTCCAGGTGACGCCCCTTCTGTCTCCGCCGTTTCTTTCCCCCCTCCTTGCCTTTCTGCACAGGAGGGGGGCCTCAGCTGACTTGGGGGGTTGAGGGCATCGATGTTTCGCCTTTCTGGGGGAAGAGTTGGCTTGGGGCAAGGGCTGGCTGTCGGGCAGTGACTTGTTGATGCAAGAGTGTCTGATGATAGTAATGAATCTTCACGGAATGCTTCCATTTTAATGATGCAGGGTCCTGTTCAAGTAAGTTTGTTCTTCAGGACCCCAGCTCTTGAACGTGAGCGGCATGGACTGGGGCAAAATTGTTTTGCTTAAGAACTACAAGCCCTACATAACTTCCTAAATTACTAGTGGAACCCTGGGCCCCAAACCCAACCCCCAAACTCCATGCCCATCCAAGTTCTGATCCGCGAATCCAGTACAAAAGCCTACATCCCAATTAAAGAAAATGATCGCCAGCAAAAATTATGAGTACCTGAACAACGTGGATTCATACTCATGAAGTAGAAGTGAGGACCACAGTCACGATACATATCTTGCAAAAACTCCCTATAGCAGCAGCCCGGCAAGTTATGAGCAACCAAGGCTGTGGCGGAAGCGGAGGCGGTGCCCGTCTGGCGGCCCTGGTCCTGGCAAATTGCGCCGCGTGGAAGGCAAAGCTTCCGAAACGCCCCCCACCCAGTAATAGTGGTATAGTAGGAAGATAATCGGACCCTAATAGAATCCTTAATATCCCTCCCTTGTAATCAGGATTACAGGGTGGGGGGTCCACTGACTTTTTGGGGTATGGGATTCCTTATATAAATATAAAAAAATGTACAGGGATCAGGTCAGAATTATACAAGCCATACATGAGTTGCAGCCATAGCCCTCGGCCTCCTCCAGGGCCGCCTTCTTCATCGCCTTCTTCTTTTTCATGGCCTTCGCCTTCATGGCGAAGGCCTGCAGAGACTCCAATGATGGTTCATATCAACCCTTTGCTTGTTCTCGCTGAGGGTATGTGAGACAGTAAATCCAGAATTGCCATGTGTCAAACGGAAAAGCCCTGCGCAATCTTCGGGGAGTTGGCCGGTCCTGGTTCTAGGTTTGTCGAGTTAATTCTGAATCATCTTTCTCAAGTGGCCACTTCCTGTAGCCCCTCTCATTGTTTGGTGGCATCCTGCTGTATCTAAAATCTCGGATGGGCAGCTCATTAACTACAGGTAGACTGCAAACAAAGGTTTTGCTAAGCCCCGAGGTCTCCCATTGCTACACAACCTCCGTCTATTCGTTTAGAGGTCTGTAGTTTGAGGAATACAGAGCATTGCCACGCCACAGTTGTAATGCATCTAGCATAATGAAAAATAATTACAGTCAAACACCCGATAACTTCTGAAAATTCACGAACTTGTGAGTACCTCCTACATTCTTCTACTCAGCCCAGAAGAATCCCGATAAAGCCTAAGCTCGACATCAGCTCTCAGGAAAACCGGACTCTCCTGTTTTAGGCTCACTGACTGGCCTTGCATGCGTCTTCTAGATACACCCTGCAGTCCCTTCAAAGCTTTAAGCAGCCATTAGGGTTTAGGGTTTAAGGATTAGGGTGGAAGAAAAATCATGAGGGAGCTTCAAGCACGGCACCTTTCAAGGGCTCCTGTAGACGATGTCAACAGCCGTACCGGGTGATGCTAGCATGGAATGTGCTGTGATTTCTTTCCTTCCTGCATGAACCCTCATACTGCCCACACAGAGGGAGCCTACAGAAACTGTGTATGATGGCTGCCACCTATACATTAGCCACTTGTCAAGATGGAATAGGTTTTAAGAACCCCTGTGAGAAGGGCAGACAGTTTCGAGAAATCCCACAATATGTCTTTTGAATAGCTGATTGAAGGATAAAAAAACACGCCCAAGCGCCGCATCAATGTCGCATGCACCTTGACCAAGTCATGGCCCCAAGCTGTGGGTGTAAACCCTAATGCGCGAGAACTGTAAGATGAGGTATTCGGACTTCCATGAATAGCCCTGTAGACAGCCATCCATTGCAACGATCGGCCTGGACGGGCACCGCCTGCTTCAGCACAATGTTTGTTCAGCAAGGCTGGAGGAAATCTGCAAGCCTAAGAACCTTGCAAAACGGGGTTGCTGCGAAGGAACTTCATTTAAGTGACAATAATGGGTATATACAGTAAATAATAGGGCTTCCCTTATTATTACTATTAGACTAATTATTACTGCTACTATTATTTATGTTTTCTCATAAAGCGCCTACCTTTCCATTGCTGCAAGCATCAACAGCACCTCTCACGACTTGATTTTATGTATACCCTGCGACTCCCGGGCGGTTCCCCTCCGTGGAGTATCCTCTAATCTCATACCACACACCGTGACAACCCCAAAGGGGTCCTGTCTAGAAGCCTCTGAGTGAGAAACTTGCATCTGGAACTGAAAAGTTTTCCTCGGAGATGTCGACTAATGGGCAACTAGGGTGGCTGCCCATCCCAATTACCAAGCCCGCCCAAACTGTCCAAAGCCTTACACTCAACCTCGATCTTAAAACCCTTTGCCCAATTCTGCTCATGGCCTGGGGGGCCATGGGTCCGCCTGGTCGAGACGCGGAAAGGTGTGATTAAGCGCATGATGCTAGGCAGCGAGATTAGCTATGACTAGTACTAAAGAAAGAAACCTTGCTGTGTTGAGTTCAGTTCAGAATCTCCCAGTATTTGTCCCAAAAGCAAGCGCAACGGCAGCCCCTCTCAAGCACTTGCCTTAATCCATGGAAGCAAGTAGCAATAAACATGCGGAGTGCAACTTTGTCTAGCTTTCACTTGATGCACTTTGTCTAGGCCGCAAACTAGATTTGAACGAGGCCCAAATGTCCTAGAAGCAGCGCAGTATGCCTTTGGAGCCAGGCTTTCTCCAGCCTTTTACAGTCAAACCTAACAGCTTTAAAGAATACGCTAGTGCCACCTCACAAACACGCTGAAACCTGAATCGTGTTGCTAAAGGAGCTCACCCGGCCTCAGAAGCGCCGGCGGGAGAAACGAAAAAAAAAAGAAAACAAAAAAAGGGAGTTTCTCAAAACTATGATATCTTGGGATGCCAGGGATACATTGCGTCATGATGATACGGGCGTGTGATTCCATGCAAACATTTGAGAAACTCCCAGCATGGCGCATGACTCCCCTTGGGAGGTCATGCCTGAAAGCTGAGCCGCAAACATGCGGGCCATGGACTGCCTCCATATTTCTATCATCTGTGTGTTGTATGTATAATATGCACATATATACAGCTATACGTTCTGTATGATAATATAAACGATACAATCTTCAGCGGACACCTGAATGGCACACAGGAGATTCAATCAGTAAAATCTTGCCCTCGCTGGAGGAAGGAAGCGAATGTGTTGTAATCTGACTGTCAGGAAAGAAAAACTGGATGTTTTCGCAATGCAAGCGATTTCTGTACCCGTCCGAGTCACACATAGACTTGATGGGAAATTACGACTCGCCCGCAATTCCGGGCTGGTACGGCCTCTCAATCCTGATTGGCAAGGGAATAGCTTCTGAACATGAACCCAATGCGTGTTGACGTGGGAGGCCCTTGCACTCATTCTATCGCAACACGAAAAACTTCCCGCGGAGCTGCATTGAGAGCAAGTTGCATGCAAAGTGTCCACGCAGGTGATACATCTGAAAAAGAGCAAAAGCCTCTTCAAGCCTTGTCTTCACATGTACGAAAATGATGCGATGTCCAGAACTTGAATTCCATTCAAACTTGTCTACTTCAGTCCATTCCCTTTCGACACATGTATTGCGGCCGGACAGGAGCTATCCAAAAACCACGTTCCATGCTGCATGGACAGCTTCCAGCTTGTGGCATGTGTGACTCCACATTTTTGCGCAGGCATCCAATTTTGGGACTGCATGGGCAAAGGTGAGCTGCTATTCAGCCACCTACAAATCTGCGCAATTTGTCGATTTAACTGGCAGGCACTGATTTCATTCATTCAGGAGCGAATGGACATTTCGGCATTTTCATGTTTTGATTTCACTTGTCAAAAAATCTGTCAGCCGTATGCTGAAGCCATTTCTTGCTGGAGGTTGTTTTAATATCTTGGGTTGCTTTCAATAATGGTGGCCCTTAGGAACTAGGAACCCTGCCTCAAGTCTTCACCTTTAGACCTGATCTTCATGCAAACTTCATCCCTACATGCACTTTGTGTGCGAGACTGATCCTACTGCTACAAGCTCCGCGTCACTGAAGGCTGCTCTTGCCCCTGGCTGCTGAAACATCAAGGTGGTGCCAGTTGGTTATCTTAAAATCAAGTTTCTTACTTATAGCTTGCTTGGATATCCTCGTCATGAACTGCAGACTTGAAACCTTGGGCTGCAAGGCTCGAAAGATGTTGAGTCTCACAGAGACTTGGGCACGAGAACTCCGTGATTTCTAGCACACAACGGAAGGCCTGCCATGGGCTTAAAGTGGCAGAATGCATGCACCAAAAGCATGCACTGTACTGCAGCCTGAACAATGCAAGAAGGATGGATATGGTCTGTAAGCACGAAACAAGCAGTACAAACTGTACGCGTACGCACAAGACTGCGACTCTCCAGTGGCTCCTGCAGGTTCTGACACTTTGTGATAACGGAATGCTGAGGTCCCTGCAGCTGCCGATCCTCTGCATAGAAGTTCTCGAAGGGGTACTGCCAAGTGCTTGGATATACATATTCATGGCTTGCAGTTTGGGGTTGTCCACGGGATCTCAATTTGCAGAAGTAAGCTTTCAAACAGCCGTTGAGTCAAAGTTTTCTCAGACTTGATCTTGGAGCCTCCAGATTTACAGTGCGGTGATATCATTTTGGACCCTTCCCTCAGTGTGTTGCAGGGGCAATCTCTGACCTTTGACACCGGTGGGCATCACCTTGTCAATCCAAGCCCATAATCTTACCACAATTTATTCCCTATAATCCCTATATAAACCCTATATAATCCCTACACTCCCTATAGTTTCCATTTTATTTTCCATTATCTCAATATTACCCCGTTATTCCCTATGATGCCGCAAGACTGCATCGCGAGCATTGCTCCTCAACGAAGCTTGTGTTGGCAAGTTTCAGGGCAAGATTCAGCAAGCTGCATGAGCTCAAGAAACCGGCCGTTATGAAAAAACAGGGTCGCATTAGAAGCTAAAACATGCTTTGCGGCCGTTGCTAAGCTGAAAAACGTCAGAAGGATGTGATCCAATCTTGGCCTACAGATTGTGTAATTAAGGCGGCAAGGTGAGTCGCTCAAACAACGAGCCATTTGAGAGATTTTTGCTCAAGTGACACGTGGGCGGCGTGCATGACAAGCAGGCGGCGTAAATCCCCGGGTCCTGGAGCCACGACTTTCATCATCGGTTGGCAAATTCTGCGCCCGACACTCATGCGTTCGCCTCTCTTCAGCGCGCTTAGCTTCAAGACTTGCTAGCGCGACATAGCCAAGACAACCACTCAAGGCGGTCCCTTCATGCGCCGCCTCCTCTTCGGTGCGTTTTCGATTGTGCCAGCATCCGCAGTGAGCAAGTTCTCGACGTGTAGGAATCCCAAGCGATGTGCCACCTGCAACGCTGTGTGGCCACTGGACGTGGTGACCTCCTTGCTAGCACCATTCTGGAGGAGCAATTGCACCATGTCCGTGCATCCCAGGATGCATGCTCGCACCAGGGCCGTCGTGCCGTCTTCAGCTTTCTCGTCAATATCAGCACGATTTTGAAGGAGCAAACGCACAGCATCTGTATGCTTTAGAAGCACCACCGTATGAAGAGGCCCTTCTCGCGCATTGCACCTGTCCTTCCTAGCTCCTGCTGCAAGAAGAAGCTTTGCTGCTTCCAACTCATTACAGAAACAAGCCACAAGCAACGGTGACCTTCCCTTCTGATCAGCTTGGTTTAGATCTGCACGCATCTGAATAAGCAAGCTCACCACTTGAGTTTGGCCATGTTCGCATGCTGCCATGAGTGGTGTGGAGCCCACGCTAGAAGCCTTGTTTACGTCGGCTGCAGCCTCAATTAGCTGACGTGATGCATCAACACAGCCCATAATGCAGGCTTGCAGCAAGGGGGTGGTACTGCTCAATCCTTCCATGTCTATTATTGGGTGGCCGTCCGTTTCGACCTCAAGCAGAACACGCAGCACATCTGACCGATCCGACGCACTGGCCCTATGCAAGGGTGTGTCGGCATTCTCGTCACGCGCTCGAATGTCTGCACGAGATTGTAGCAGCAGCTCTGTGATTTCAACATGCCCACCTACACATGCCACATGAAGAGCTGTCATGCCATGGGCCGCTGGGCGGTTCACGTCGGCCTTGGCCTCCAGCAGCAGTTGGACGGACTGCAGGTTTCCATCTGCTGCTAAGCATAAGAGCGGTAGAAGCCGTGGCTCGATTATTTGGTCAGGATCCTGTGGCTGCTGTAGGAATTCTTCCACAGCATGAACATCATCATTTGCGACGGCCATGGCAAATTGTTCGAGGCCGCTTTCGTCGAGATCATTGAAGGATAGGAGCACGAGATGCAGCAGAGCAGGTAGCTCAAGCGGAGCATCATCTGCCATGATCCGGCCACCTGAAGCAAACCCAAAAGAAGCGTTCGAAGTCACAAGGCACCGTGTCCCATGTATGCTCCTTTGCAAAACAACCCAGAAAGGATAGGCAAGGCCCAGGAATCTAGGCCTCTCTGTCTCTCTGAATGTTCCCTTGGACTCTAAGCTTCTGATGGTCACACGCTCCAACTAGTTTTTGGTTCTAAGCCTTGTAGTAAACGTTGACGAAAGCGTGGCAACCCAAGCTTTGCTGCAAGGCGCTCCTTTTCTTAGGAGTTTCCGGTTTCGATTCTGGTGGGTCTAGATGTACGCGGGTTCTCGGGTTGCAGGTCTAGAGCTTTGAGTTTTGGCGCTGTTCCACTGGCAGAGATTCAGGGTTGGACATCTCAAGTCACCCAATCTGGCTCTGAGGTCTAGGTATGCCGCTACTTCCCGCAGCACATTACTGCGGCTTTGTTGACGTTTACTGGTCCACTACAGGTGCACTTGGGGTGTTGGAAGTTGGCCAGAATACAGGTCCACCATTTTGGAGAGGAGTTGGCTGCAACAATCATGTCAGGCCCTAAAGAAGCACAGAGCATTCCATCATGGAGCCCAGACTCTTTCAGACCTCGTACAGTGAGCCGTGCATCTGCGGCCGCATCAGCTTCCAAATCATGGTTGCAAAGAGACAATACCTCCGTCCCTGACGTCATCAGCACCACGCGCAACATGGCGAGAGAAGTGCTCAGAAGTGTCTTGTGGGAGCTTTCCAGGTTCAAGCCCTGTAGGGCAAAGGTTACGGCCCAGTGATGCAGCGAGGTTTGGGGTATAGTTGCAACGCACTTGTTTCAGCTGTCTTTCACCGGCAAGGCTCATGCGTTGTATCGGCTGTAATGCTTGGCATATAGCCAGCAGGCGTCCAGTCACGATGAAGATTCGAATAAGCTTCAAGGGTTGAAGGGAGCCTGCGTATCACGCGGCATGGTCGAGAGTGTTGAGCGAGCTACAGCCGCGGGCCGCATCATGACGGTTTCTGCATGCCCAGCTTAACCTGCAGGTTGCACATTGCAAATTGCCAGCCAGACTGCAAATCGTGCAAGGACAACTATGTTAGAAATCTGGGGGAGCGACGTGCTTCGATCAAGTTTTGGGCTTCCGAATGATAAGCTCGAAATTGTTTGGCGGGTCTCACGCCTCTGAAGGACTTTTCGACTTGCAGTCGCAATGCCTGATGAAGCTTGTGATGCGTGATGTAGACCTATGCACAAGGAAAAGCCATTGACCCCCAAATGTCGCGAAAGCCTAACACATCCTCAAACCCACATCAGGTGTTGCACTGCTTTTTCAGGAACTATCTGTGGTCCGTAGGAAACGCAATTAGGAAACTTGCTCAAGTGCAGATGCCCCTCCCAGCACATATGAAGTCTAAATAGGAAGCAACAGCAGTGGCTTCTCTTTATCATGCTTGGCTTAGGGTGTGGGGCGAGGAAAATAGCTGCTCTCAATCTTCATGGCATTTTATGTAATATCACATGACCATGGTTCCATACAAGCAGCCATATTACCTGTCAAAAAACGTCTCGAAAACATCGCAGGTATGATTCATTGGGAATAAGCATATCATTGTGGGCTTCAGGTGGTCATGTTTCTTCCTGCCTTCACGAAGTCCGGAAACCAAGTGGGTAGCTCCCGATTTGCGCGCCTCCAAGGCATCATAGGCTAGTTCAAGTCTAAACGGTATGATTGAGAACAAACGTACTTGAGCCCGAACTACAATCAGGGAATAAGGGGCAGGATGTCAAGTGTTTCTCCTACCAACTTCAAGATCAAGGGACACAAGAGCTGAAACACTCACTCAAGTTGCAGAAGATGCCTCTTGCCGTCTGTACCCGGTTCTGCTTCGTATATGAAAGACTTTCGGCATTGCCCCTGCCCCTGGATCATCCCAAAAGGGGGCACCCCCCTGATCCTCTATAAGCCCCAATATTTCCCCCCAAACTCCACGCTGCCAGACCCAAAGTGTAATTCAGCAACCGAACCTTACCCTGAACACGAGTTCCAGCGGAAAGCACAAGCCTTGTCAGGTACCAGCTTGTGCATACCACCATAGCAAGCGTGGAGATCATCCCTTGGCGCAATTGTGGATCTTTCTGTCTGGCTTCGCGACTTCAGAGACTTGAGGATGGTTACTTGCAGGCCATAAGCTAGCAGAGCTAAGGCTTGCATAGTACCCCAAGCATTTCCAACCCTGAGGCACTTTGTAAGCAAAAGGAAGCAGCACGCAGCTGCAATTTTTCAGCAAGGTGAACCATGGGTCAGACTTGAAGGTTTAGGGAAGCTTGGGGGTTTCCAAAGTTTAGGGCCTCCCACCCATACCTGTACTCACCCAAAAAGTCTCATGAGATGGTCCTGCTACATGATCATTTGTGGGTAGTGGCCTGCGTGGCCTGCGAACCACTATGTTTTCTTTACCCGGACTCTGAACCCCATCCTCCAGCCCCCTGGCAACCTTATGACATGCTGTGCATGCGAGGCGCCACAAAGCAGACCGGCCATGAGAGCCCCTGCAACAGTCGCCTCGCAGTTCAAATCGTAAAAGGAAATCACAGTAACTGGGCTGATCTCCTGACCTGCTACTTTGGGACCACAGGGAGACTTGTTACTGTTCAGGCTACCACCACCTCCCAGTGTCATCATCATTTGAACCTAAGCGCAATAGCTGATGAAAATGAGCTTGATAGTGACATTGTGCCATGAGAACGAAGAGTGGGCACGCGGTGCAAGAGAGAAGCCTAGAGGGCTGGTGGTACTCTGCTGTTGGCCTTCATGCGAAGGGGTTTGTTAATCCCATCTCTGCAAACGGAAAATGTGGCTTTGGGCTTCTGAGGCCCCTTAGTGGGTTTCTGAAGCGATTTCGTGGACAGAATGGCTGGTTACACTGCTTACCTTGGAGTCTGAGTGACATGACCCGAATGCCAGAGGCCACAGGCTAGAACTGAAAATGGAAGTTTCAGATCCTGAAATGCCTTTGACTGGCAAACTCTAATTCTCCGACCTCAACCCCTTGACCCCCGAGTTCCTGAGGGCAGCCGATGATGATGTCTCTTGGCAAGGCTCGCGGCGCGACCTCAGAATGTTTTCAGTGTTGCAAGAAACGGGATTTGCATTCAAATGTCAGAGTCGAACTGAACGCATTTCGCGCCGTTCGTCTGACTTACACGCACTGAACTGCAAACTGACAGCAGCCATCCGACAAAAAGCTTTTTACAGCAGTTGGTTCCTGACTCGAGGGGCGCACACATGGATAGAATGTTTGCAGAAAAACTTGGTGCAGCTTGTAAAGGTGGAGACTTCGATTCTCAAACATCATGGCAGCTCCAAATGTCATCAGATTCAGTAACTCAAGAAACCGGCTATCAAGAATGGGGCGAAATGAGGTCCATAAACGCCTCCTTGAGAAACACGTACCTCACAATTCCCCACGATACCCAACCTTGCAGGCAAATCAAGATCACAAGTGCTTTTGCTGCCGGGCATGTTCCGAATCTGGGCCCCTCTCCATCGATAACTGGGGCTCCGTATCGGGATGTCGAGACTCAACGTTGGCCTGCATAGTGCATGTCTTGGGGTTCACAAGACGAGGTAACTTCTCATCTAAAAGATGTCTGCTTAAACAGATGCCCCCTGGCATTGGAGTCTAAGCTGCCCACTGATGCCACAGTGGCAGTGGGGAGCAGATTCCCAAAACAATTCCTGGCCTCTATGTGCTAGTATGCTGATACCTGCATTCACCCCCTCTAAAGCATTCGTACGGGGGATAAGGGTTGAGCGAAATTACAGGGATACTGTTCTTTTGAAAGGACGTGGGGACATGTGAGATTGCATATTTGGGAGGGACCCAAAATCCAAACTAAACAGCTGGTTCTGAGTCTGACACTCCGCTAGGCTCTACCTCAACTCCAACTCCACGGTAAAGGCTCGCAGGCCTCGAATTGTGGCCTTGCCTGTGGCATGAACCTTCAATGCGGGGGAGTAGGGAAGGCAGTGTCAGGGAAGCTGTAGCAAAAGCCAATGGATGCAATAAGCTACGGGGCTTTATGCTTCCTGCTCTGCCTCTAGGACTTTGAGACCTGCAGAACTAAAGTGATGCACAAGTCTTGCTAAAATGCAACATTTACATCATGAAGTGCTGGGAGGTAAGGGGCTTGGGATGGGGTTCTACATAATACACAAGACCCAACAAAGCACAATCAAAGCCAACAGCAGCTGCAGGGAAGCAAAGCAGAGAACTAGTCCAAGAACCATCAGTGCAGAATCTTCACAGATCAGCACCTGTGCCCAATGAAACTTCCGAAGAAAGCATCTGCATATCGTTTTTGTGCATGAGTTGCATCAGGAAAACACGCCGTTCCCAGCCAATGAACCAAACACCTTCATGTGCGGAAGCGATTGCCTTGCTCATCCGAAGACCGCTTTCTAGTCCAGGTCGCAAGCAACTGCCGACACTAACTATCAGCAAACACCCGCAGAAAGTTTGGGTGGGCCCCGCTGAGTTTGGCACGGCCGAGGTTGCACTGGTGTGGGCGCGAATGCCTCCGACATGAACGAAATGAGTTGGGGAGGCTGCCTTCCGCGGCTGTACCACTGAAGGACCCATGCATCACGGGTCTGCTACACCTAAGAAGTTGCCGTCGCTCAAGTGCTGCAGCCCGGAGCAACAATTTGAGATTCCCCCGAGGTTATGTGCTGCTAGTGAAAGCAGCCTGCGGCACCACGAGGCCCAGGTTGAGCTCACCAACCTTGGGTGGTATTGGGCTTGACAACTGCCTACCCTCCATTGGGCCCTTGTTTGGGCTTCCCATGTTCGTGCGGGAGAAGGTTGGTCCGTTGAGTCTCCTGGATTGGAAAAGACAGGACCTATCCCTGCAACAAATATAATAATCTTGTGCTTTGGGATGGGCTGAGATAAATGTACGGAAGTGCAGTGCAACCTGCTTAGCAGCTAATACTTTGCTTTGCTTGAACTTCGAAGCTTGCAAGGACGAGGAGCTGTGAGCGTAACACAAACGTCCACCAAAACTGAAAGCCAACCACACACGGGCCATAATTATTCTTGAATGAAACAGAAATCCTGTTCACACAAGTTTTCGAACTCTCAGACATTAGCTAGGCCAGACCCGTAAAAATCGACAGACAATTTCTACCCACAGCATCGACCCCAAAGCTTGAAGAACTTCAGATGCTAGATCAACAGAGCCCTTGAGGCCCAGGCAAAGCACCAAGGCTTCTTTCCTTCTGGGTGTGGGTAGTAGATGTTGGTCCTCAGAGCACTGCATGGGTAGTGGATGTTGGTCCTCTTGCCAACGCAAAGCTTGGAAATTGACAGCGGCGTTTGCATGGATTTGAGGTGTGGTCATCCATGTCCAAGGAAGGAAGGACAGGATGTGTGTGAGGATCATCATGCCGATTGAAGAACATGCGTATTTCTGGACTCCATTGGGTAGGACTATTCAACGATGTTGCTAGCTCGGAGGACGAGAAGATTAACAGCTACAACAACAAAGCTCTAGGCCTGAACCTTCAGCGTGCAGCCTCGAACTCGACCTCTCTGAAGCGCCGAAATCGCAAGCCCCTTGAAGCGAAGACCCTTGAGGCCTTGGAGTGCGATCCCCGCTTTTGGGGAGGGGCCGGCCATGACCTGAGCACGGGGCACGTTTGAACATGTACTTCGGGTATTGGCAGGGTTGATCAGGGTTGGTGCAAAGTCTTACCAGGGTCCCTTCTAAGGGGAGTGGTATTCATAAATCTCCTCACACGCTCGACTATTGCAGGAGATTTCGAACAAGCCATAACTTCCAACAAACCAGAACTGCTAACTACCCTAGCTCTAGCTCACGCTTTGAGAACGGGGTCTTTCTCAACTTTTAGCTAGGATGGTGCCTTCGGATCATAGCCCTTTAATCTTGCCTGATCTGGCTGCCTTCGAAGGAGACATGGAGAAATGATGCAAAAACTCATGGACCTCCAATTTCCAGCTGTTTCTCTTGATTTGCTGGCTTCTTCAAGGACCCAGCATTTCTTCATGTGGGCCCTCCAAATTCTCCTCACATGAGTTATCAAAACAAACACAACATTATAAAGCCATTCCTTGACTTAAAGCTGCTGAATCAGCTTTTGGACGAGGTGGGTTCAGTATAAGCTGGTGGGAGCCTTATGCGACATCATTGGAGAACAAAATGTCGCTGTGAAACCAAAGAGAACATGTATCGCGAGTTGAGTCGGCATGTCAGAACCTGGTAAAATCCACAGGGAGCCCCGAAAAACAGGCCAGCAAGCACTGCGAGGTGTGAGATCTGTTTGCCATGCTTGGCGGGGTTCGACCGTTCCGGCCGCAAAAGTCGAATGCCCCTGGCAAGCGGACTGCCATTGCTACGTCCGCCGCTCGAAGGGCATCTGTAAGGCATGGCCCGGCACACTCCGAAAACCAAGATCTCATGCGTCATTCAAAGAAATTGGATTTGGTTCTGCCAAACCCGAAATCTCACTGCATCGCATCCGATAAGAAGTGGCAGTACATCCCAAACATGAAACGGTGCAACCATTGAGGAGGAGAATGCGACGTGCCTCCCGAACGGGGGCAGATGATCTCCCTAAACACAAAACATTAGACCATTAAAATTTAATCTTGCATTCCAAACCCCTTTGCTACTCTTCGTCAACTCCTAGCATAGATCAGTGCCCCACAATAACTGTTAGGCTAGGCATCATACCATTGGATCTTCCGGCTTCAGCTCCTCACCTTCAAGGGCCACTCCCGATGTTGCCCACATCCGCATGCAGCGCAGCACAACCCCAAAATCCAACCACATAATGCCCGTGTCAAAGCTTACAAAGCCTTGCAAGAGGTCCCAGGACTCGGAGCTTGGGGGGCTCTTTGCCTGCACCGCGGAGCTTTGTACCCTGCGGTGAACAAAATTGGCTCCCAGCGCTAGGTGGGAAAGTTCAATCCCTAATTAACCTAATTTCAGCATAAAGCGCGACATGTAAAAATACTGAATTCAGAACCTCTGAACATTGTACAGTACACCTGCTGTCTCGTTTCTTGAGAGGCCCCAACTCTATGTTGTAAAGTCTTGAAGCCTAAGTCTTGTCCTGAATCCAGAGTTCCCGTCCTAAGTCCAGGAATCTTCAGGCCTCCAGCGCACATAGCTATTCTAATGCCACTTGAAGCTTCCACGCAGATTTCCCACCCATGCACTCACGCATAGGTCGAATTTCTCTTTGGCTGCTGAGTTTCAGTAGCTGGCTGGCTGCATCTGAATTCGCTGGGTCACTGTGCCCCTATACGTTGGAGCCGCCTTGGCAAATGCACCAGGTGCAAAACATCTCAGTTACGACGGGGTTCAAAGCTTGATGCTGCAGCACGACGGTGCTGATTAACTGGAGGCGCAGATGGATGTTCCGTTTGGGACAGCCTGGGTGAAGTGGAGCAGACCCACAAGTATACAACAGGAGCCAGGAGCTTGAAATTTGTGCTACTGAACGGAAAGACTATGCATCATCTGCAGCTATGTTGATGCCATGATATCAACACGTCTCTGACGCAAAAAGAACTGTCCCCTACTGCTACGCACCACAGTCAGAAGGCACACCAGACAGGCCAAGGTCCGTGCCCTTGCAGCTCAAGAAATCAGCTTCACCGTCTTGCCATGCCTGCGGCGAGGAGGTTGCAGCAAGAATTTATCAGCACATCCATCCTCACATTCCTCAAAAGGGGATATGGGTTTAGGGATTAGGGTCTAGGGTATAATATCTAAACTCCATAAATGGAATTACATAGGGGATTATATAGGGTCGCGTGAGTTGTGGAATGTTTGGCGCCTTGAAGGTTTTCCAGCTTTAGGGGTCCATGCACGTTCAAGTGCTTGCACGGGAGCAACGTGAAGGACAACCAGTGGAACGACAGACAGACCCCTTAAAGGATCCCAGCAACTGGAACCCCCTACTAATCCCCTAGTTGCCCCAATGTAGTAATGGGTTCATATTGGGGGGTTCCATTTTTTGGATCCTTTAGGGGTCTGGGCGAACAGCCTTGCAAAGCGATTTGCCGAACCCAACATAGTCGATATGGGAGGGATATGTAACAAAGCTTGTTAAGCTTCGTCACTCAGCCTCTATTTGTTTTGCTTCCCTCCCCCTTCAGCTGGAGACCTTAGCAGCCCTTCACGGTTTTTCGACCATCAGTTCAAAACACGTTAGCTTCTGAAAACTGTCAACTGATCTGCAATGTCAACATGTGAGCAGAGCAAATGCATTTGGGCTTTCAGATAACCAATGTTACCTCTCCATGCAGGTGGCAAGGGGAGAGTACTACTAGCTGTGCAGCTTCATCTCTCTACAAAGAGAAAAGGGCCCCCGACCTCGAGCTCTGTGCTGCACCAAGTCTGGCGTTGGCAGCCGCTTTCGCCAAATCTCCATTGAGGGTCATGGTGCCTTCCAGCACAGACTCAGACTCGTGAATTCAGATGGGGGTGTCTTATCGAAAAAAAGTTGAGGAATTTCGGTGCCGCGGAATTTACACTCGAGCAGGCTCTACTATTGATACCAAACATCCTGCATGACATTCGTATCCTAGAATACCACAATTCCCAAGGTGTAAAGGTGCAAGGGGTCATGTAGGGTTTGATGTTATCAGCAGCACCCAGGCTGAGTCTGAAGCCGCACCCTTGGCTTCCCCCCAACTGCGCAGCCAAGGTGCTAATGGCCACCCAGCTTCCGGAGTAGTAGTCCTGTCTTGTAGTAGGTTAGGGACTTTGGGATTTCAGGTGGGCAACAGGGCTTGTTCGGTTCGGAATGAACAGGTCGCCGTTGCCACAGCTTAAGCGGATCCTTGCTATAACTCTATCGAGAAGGACCTCTGAGTTTCCTAAATTGCACGGCGGGTCTCGAGCAACGCCTCCAAAGCTGAAGGTCATCTACTGCTTGGTGTCCCCAGATCCTCTGCTCTTACAGGTTCAAGGATCAGGTCTCAGCCCGACCTCTCCTGGAATTGGGCTCTGAGATCTAAACCGACCAGCCTGGAAACCTGTGTTATATCTCTCGCATTCACAGCACTTACCCACTCTTTGGAAAGCCTTGCGCAAACACGGCTATATCCGCTAAGCGGGTGGGTAGAAATTGTCCAGAAATTGACCCGACATTATGGCTCAAGATTCTGCCCAGTAAGACGCCCAGAAGCCTCCGACCCCATACGCACCTACCCGTCAGAAGAAAGCGCCAGAGATAACCGTCAAAAGGTGCCAGCATACAGCACAGAACGATGGCTCAGAACTCTGGATGCTAGAAAATGCGAGCTCTGTACCCAACACGTAGCTTGCCAGGTCCCGAATCCGCTGTGTGGCAAGAAGCCGGCCGGCCGAATCGATGAGCTCCTCCAGTGCTTAATTCTAGACCAGAAACCATGACGCTAAGTAGGCAAGCCAATGCATTCTGCCAATACGAAGTACTGAAGCAAAGCTACATTGAGATCCTGCACGTTGGAGCCTGACTGTAGATTGCAGGCATCTTGCCAAACAGTCAAGAGAACAATGCCGTCCGGAGAGCCAGATACCGGAGGCAAGCCCCCGCTTCTTGTCACCCACGCTTTTATCCCCTTTACCAAAACGATTACTGAGTTGAAAGCTGTGGAACCTTGCTCACAGTTGTTGATGAGTGAGCGCTTACTTTGTAAAACTTGTTTCCGGATTTGATACCCCAGCCAAATTTGGAGGAAGTGCTCGATGAAGAACTAAACTGCTAGCAGTAGATGACTGAAGGAACATAGTGGCCACGAGACTAGAACCTATTTTATTCGGAACCATATCTGCTTCCTTTTTCACCGAGAAACTTACTCAACCTGAAGGCCCGAACCCTAAAGAGTATTCGCGTCTATGTACGCAATACCCTCTTCCAAATTGCATGTAACCCCTTCGCCCCATTAAACACCCCCCTCCCCCCGCCACCTTCTAAAACCAAGTATCCGCTATAGTAGCCCAGATATCTCTGAATTAACACATGTAGAGTAAATACTAGGTTACTTCATCTGGCTCCTTACAGTCTTGCGTCACCATTGAACATTCGATCTTTTTCACGTTGTACTACAGTTCATATGAATACTAGTACTTACAATAATCACAACTTTGACTACACTAGCATATAGAAACTTTGACAAGAACTTATTGGTGGTTAGTAAGAAATAGGGGAGTATAATATCTATATAACTTCCTATGCAATGTAGTCCCCATTCCCTACTAACCTTAAACATAAATAGCAGTTTCCATTTTCTTTTCCATCATCCCTATGTTATCCCCTATATCCCAATATTATACCCCAATATTCCCAACAAGGCAATGTGTGGGGCATGCGATTTACTGGGCTTTGCCTGCTGCCGGCTGTTGCCAAGGCCAGACGCGGGGCAGACCAAGCTGGCGAAGGTTGGAGCGGCCATGAACCTCTGGGCTTTAGGGTTTAAAGGCTTAGGGGACTAGGGGTTTAGAGCTTAAGAGTTGGGGAGATTAGGGATTTAGGGTTTAGAGGCTTAAGGGTTTCGGGATTTAGGGATCCAGTGGCTGTAGGAGTGACCCCTGTAGCTTATGCGCTCCGAAGCGGGTTTGGATTTAGGGGCTAGGGTTCTTCAAACATATCTTTTATTATCAGGACCTCTCGCAATCCTGTTTGCTGGCGGCTTGACTTCCAATGTTGACAGGGGACCAGCATAAGTGATATTCACAGTTATAAGAGGTGGTGGACTGCGAGACGCCACCGTTGAGTGAAGGGAGTGTGACATTCACCGACCTTAAGGGAATGGATTCGTTCGCGGGTTCGAACTAAGCGATCCAGGCTTTGGTGCAAGAGGGCCATGGCTTGTATCCTTCCATAGTTCCCAACAAGCTGCCATAGTTCGGACACTAACCAGGCGACAGCAAACCCCAATTCCTTTTTGCAGCCAAGCAACATGTTCACCTTGCAGGTAACGGTGGGTTGCTTCATTGCATGGGTTTCAGGGGGCCTGCTTTTGTGGAAGCTCAGGCTATAAGGGCTTCTCGTTTTGTGCTTGAGGCTTCGCTTTTTGCTTCAGGACTGGGGGATTGCAAGGGCCTGTAGTTAAGTGTCCTCCACCTGAGCATGGGGGTTCCCACGCAGTCTGGAAGTACACTTACTTTTGACGGACCAAAATGGTCTCAATCGAGTTTGAGGTGAGGAACTTTGCCACGCCTGAGGCTGAAGGTCGAAACCAAGAAGCAGTCCCATCAATCTCTCAAATCAATGCTAGCAGCCGAATCAAGAGACTAAACCTCATCCTTCAGAGAAATCCATCAGACCCCACACCCGACACCTGAAACCACAAGATCCCTCTCAATGATTGAGAATAAATTTGCACCTCAACACGCCGTTTACAAATTGAAGATCGCCCAAACGGTTGCTCCAAACCCTCCAGCCAATCAATCTCTGCAGAATCCTACAGAGCCCATGAGAATCCCTGTAATCATGTCAGTTCATAATTCGATCCGCAAGCGAGGCCTGCCATCCAGGGTGGATCGTCTCCACCAGGCAAGCGCCGTCAATGTCGAGAGACGAAGCCCAACGTCCAGAGCTCTCCTGCGGCTGATGAATGAATATGCGAGTTTCCGGAAAGCTCGCCCCTAGAAACCCTAAACACTATCTTGGGATCCCTATGAAGGATTACAAGCCGATTATTTTGAGAAGCTCCTTGCCTAGATGAACACAGAAGGGTACAAGGTTTCCTTCTTGATGTACGCATCCTCGCAGAATCTGCCGTGCCTATTCATGAGCGAGCACCTTCTGAAAACCTCCCATAAATGACTAGTCCAGATCCAGGACCCCACTACTCATGCACGTGGTCCCCTGTGTCCTTCTTGCCCAGATGTGTGGCCACGGGCTCCAAGAATTGCGCAGCTGAACCTGCCTTTCGATCCGCTAATGATCACTCTAGGATCCTGCGAAAGCACCCTCTCTGCAAGTACGCTACAAAGATCTGGGACTCTGCTCGTGAAGTTGGGTTCACATAGAGCATCTGCTGCAGTCCGCTAGATTGCCTTGGCGTCAGCGAGGACTGTAGGAGGGGTGGGTGCTTTCTGCACAGCTGGTGGTGTTGGTAGAGATGCGGAAGCTCACGAGATGCATCTGCATGGCTAAGGTGGGCTGCACCTGGGTGATACTTTCTCCCACTGAACTTCCACCACAGATGCAAACGATCTCAAAGCTTTAAGGCACTTTTGCTTGCGCAGTTGGCCTCGGACGGGTACAGGACGAAATCCACCACCACGCGCCAGATCGTCCTTGAGGCCTTTCGAGCGAGGACTGTGAGTTCCGTGCTCACTCATACGAATCAAATACAAGCAGCTCCTGTGACTCTGTTGCTGCAGTCTTGTATTTTGCTTGGATCACATTTCCTAGTTAGAAGAAGGATCACTACGATCATTCCATTGGATTGTTGGGTATTCGTGTAAAGGCGGTCAAAGATTGGCCTACAACCCAGACGCACTAGCCCATCGGACATGAGCCGAATTCCGAAGCAAATCTATCCTGGACACAATCTGCGTGGAATCTCAGATGCATCCGACAACTTGCGAAATGCAGAGGGAGAGGCGTCCTTATTAAAACTTTCATGCGGCGAATGAAGCTGGGAAGGACTCCCGAGCCAAGGCCTGATGAGAAGAAAACAATCTATCTATACCATGGTCATCCTTGCAAGATACACCTGAAGAGCCCTTGCATAGCCACAGAGCATCCCTTTCAAACCCCAAATAATTGGGGTTGGAGGCTGCGTATGCAAGACATCTTGAACCGCCACATACTTCACCCCTCCGGGAATTAATCCTTGGGATAACCTAAGTCGCGCCAAACCCTTAATTTTTTTTCTATTCAATGTATTCCAAACAGAAACAGCCACCTCCGCGCCGTACTCGGCACCAGGAGTGCCGCTGCCGCTGAAGCCCGTCCTGAGAGGCGGGAGGGAGGTCTCTGGCATTAGCAAATTTTGGAGGATTGGGGCGTATGGCGCATCAGCGTGATTTTAGGTTTGAGGGTCCGAGGTTTTTGCGGTATTCGGTTCAGGGGTTCAGGAGGCTTCGAGACAAAGGGGATGTTTCTGCTAGATGCAAGACACGATCTGCATGCACATCCTGGGTAGCTGGCCCATGGTATAATGATGACACTAGCTGAGGCACTGCATACTCAACATCTGCCTATCCAAAGGCTTGTCGAGAGAGCAGGAGTGTCTAGGCCAGCCTAGGCTCTGCAAGAACAATAAATAGAACATCTCATCAGTCTGCGAGCGTGAGGCTCATTTAGCTGTTCAGTTTTTCACTCGGTGCTCCTGCGAGTCTTTCGCGACAGCATCTTTGCAATCTGGCCGTTGCTATGGTGAGCTGCAAGCTTGAGAGCCGTGTTGCCGGCACAATTCTGTAGATCCTGGCTGGCACCAGCTTTCAGCAAAACCTGCGCAGTCTCCACGTGATCCCTTTCTGCAGCAAGCATGAGGGCCGTGTTCCCGTGGCGGCTTTGCAGGTCTTTGCCAGCGCCAGATTTCAAAAGCAACTGTGCGATCTCCACATGGCCACATTCTGCTGACAGCATGAGGGCCGTATATCCGTGGCAAGTTTGCAGGTCTGTCCTGACACGGGATGTCAACAGCAACTCTGCAACGTCGGTGCGTCCATTTTCCGCTGAGAGCATCAGGGCTGAGTAGCCAGCACAATTCTGTAGGTCCTTGCTGGCACCGGCTTCTAGCAACAGCCGAGCAATCTCCACGTTGCCATGTTCTGCTGAGAGCATGAGGGCCGTGTAGTTGTAGGAACTTTGTAGGTCTGTGCTCGCACCAGATTTCAAGAGCAATCGTGCAGCCTCCACGCCACCATGCCTTGCTGTGAGCATAAGGGCTGAACAGCCGTCACGCCTTTGCTGATCTTTGTCGGCACCAGCTTGCAGCAGAATCTGTGACACATCCACGTGACCTCCTCTTGCTGCAACCATGAGGGCTGAGTCGCCGTCGTGACTGTGCGAGTCTTTGCTGACACCAGCACCCAACAGCAATTTTGCAGTTGCCGCATTGCCACCTGCACCGGTGTTAGCACCAGCTTCCAGCAACAGCTGAGCAATGTTCCCGTGATTCCTTTCTGCAGCAAGCATGAGGGCAGTGTAGCCGTAGCTACACTGAAGTTCTATGCTGGCTCCAGATTTCAAGAGCAACTGTGCAATCTCTGCATGCTGTTGAATGGCTGAAAGCATGAGGGCCGAGTGGCCGCGGCAATTCTGTAGATCCTGGCTGGCACCAGCTTCCAGCAAAACCTGTGCAATCTCCACGTGACCGTGTTCTGCAGCAAGCATGAGGGCCGTGTAACCCTGGCGGCTTTGCAGGTCTTTGCAGACACCAAATTTCAAAAGCAACTGTGTCATCGCCATGTGGCCATGTTCTGCTGAGATCATGAGGGCCGAGTACTCAAAACAATTACGTGCGTCCCTGCTAGCACCAACTTCGAGCAACAACTGTGCAACCGCCACGTGAGCGTATGTTGCTGCATACATGAGGGCTGTGTACTCACGTTTGCAGTGCTGGTCCTTGTCAGCATTGGCTTCCAGCAGCATTTGCGCGATCTTCACGTGACCACTTGATGCCGCGAGGATGAGGGCCGTGAAGCCTCTAAAGTCTGACGCATCTCTGTCCACACCAGCTTTCAACAAACTGTGTGCCACCTCCAAGTGGTCCATCTGGCATGCGTCAAAAAACTCTTCTTCAGCCTCATCCCGCTGCTTTTCTGTGGAAAGGGTGGCCAAGAGGACTAGTTGTATATCCATCGGAACATCGAGCTTTGTGGAATCATCCAAGGGTCTTCCGTTGTGCAGCAGCCGTTGCAGGCAACTTGGGAAGCCATGCATCTTGCCCAGTGAACTCTTCAACTTCCCCACGTCCGAGATCTCTTCCATCTCTTCCACGCTAATTGCGGGGAGCTCCTGTCCTGACATCAGCTGTATGCGGAGCATTCCGGCAAGAAGGCCGATCACAAGCAACAGCAATGGCGAAAGCAGTATGATCGGGGTCTGTGTTTGTGCTTCTATGGCCTATGGTGTGTAAGCCTAAGTACATTTGCTACCATCGAAACGACCTGAAGTGTTTGGATGACAGTAGCGGATTCGTTGCACCTCAGCTGAATTTTACGCCTGCTCTTGCTTTTGGATGATGCTGAACTGGTCACCACTTGAAGGACACTTGCTGCCGAGGAAAGAACTAACAACGCGGGAGTCGCAGGATGCCTCAACACCTTGCCACTTGAAGACAAGAAACTCCAACATGTAGTTCCCTTAGCTCATGTTGAACTCTATCCGGAGAGCAAAATACAAGCCTGGCCCTGGCATATGAGCCAAGAAACTTCACCAGATACCGAACCCCTGATGATTGGACCTAATGACGGGGTCATTTTGCACAGCAATAACCGCTCAAGGTTGCTTTCAAGGTTGCTTGGATAACCTTACAGAATGGTCACTAAGTTTGAAAGTTCAACTCTGACACCATGTTATCCTCTGTATAGGTGTTTTACTATAAGCCGCTGAAATGTCTACAGCAAACAAGCCTGTAGGCTTGATAATCCCCATCTCAACACAACAACATCTCGAAGGCTACAGGTAAGCCCTGGACTTAGTTCAAAGGTCTGCCGCTGGCACGTCAAGACCCCGCTGAACCGCCCAGGCCACTAAACAAATGACGGGCTCATGCCAAACCAGGGGTAAGCAGTATGAACCGTAGTGGATGCGACAATGGTGGTTGTTACTAGTCTACATCATTGCTATGGCAGCAACTGCTCCTACCATCCATGTATGTTGTACTAAATCCTCTTCTGTCGTAGTCCTAGGAAGATGTCCATACCCCACAGGGGCTTAACAAGTCCTTACATAGTTCCATTTTTGGATTCATACAAACTTCTGGCCAGGAAGCTGTGCTCGGAGCCTGCGACCCTCTTCGAAAACCTGGAGCCGGCCGCTGGGATTTTGAGGATGCTCTACCCTTAGAAGACATGGTGGCTGTGGTGGTGTAGTGGTGGTGGTGGTGGTGTTGCGGGTAGTACAGTACTAGTATTAGTGCTAGTGTCACCACTACTACTATTGCTACTACTGTTAGTCGTACTGCAAGTAGTAGTAGCACGGTAGTACAACGACTACTACTCTCACCATGCCCTCATAAGATCAATGATGATCATTACGGCTTTCCCTTGTTGCTACCACAGAATCGCGCTACTGTGTTTGGAGCCGCAGCGAATTGCTCATTTTTCGCATCACGCAATTGTAGTGTTATTGCAGTCGTTACATCTATCTTCAGTTTCGTGTGTTGATAGCATTGGAATTCTTGCAAGAAGTGATAGCATCTTTGTTAGTGGGGCATATGGTGGAGATGTTCAAGTTGCTAGGCTTTTAGGGCAGGCTACGCAGGCTCAAGGCTTTTTTCTTGTCAGGGTTGAGCCCCTGCTGTCACTTTGCAGTTTTAATCCCAACGCCCGCCGGATGGTCATGTCCCTGAGCTCTGAGCTTGGCACCGCACTTGAAATTTCACAGCCATGTCAACATTAGGCCAAAGTTGCTTGATCAGAATACTGCTGCAACTTCTTCGAGTTCAGAGCTCCCAACCCAATCCTCAGCCAAGCTTGCAACTCAGCCATCTGACCCATTATCCACAATAAGCACCCGCCTGAATCAGTTTTCGCAACCCTGGATTCAGAAATGACCTGTGTGGCCAAAGCAACAAAAATATCCCGAGTTCAAGCACAAAGACACTGCAAGCCACCAACTGAGCTTGCCCCCAAAACCCTGCAGAATGGCCTGAGCCCAGTTTGGCACTAGCCCTGTCGATGGGCACCTCACTGTCTTGTAAACGGGAGGCTTCAGGTTCACTTACCCCGTGCTTATCCTGAGAGGGTCGTGTGACCGATTCGCCCTCAGGGTTAAGCCGCCCAGGCCGAAATCCGAAGCGGAAGGAGAAATTTTGCCAAGTTCACGGGTGCAATAAAGCCATACAAGCTGAAACAGGTGGCTGAGCGAACCCGAAGGCATCTTCTCCAGAATGATTGCATCGCAGTCGTCTGACGATTGTGCAGCGCGGCTGGAGTTAAATTAACATGGCTCGGGCACTGCGTAGCTGACAGCATCTTGTAGGTGGTGGCAATGAGCGTCTCCCACTTCCTAGGATCTTTGACTTCCTGGAGACTCAGGTGCGACATGCTATGTCAGAGGCTGACCTGTTAACAGAGATGACAAGAAGAAACGCCATGAACGACCACATGTAGGAATTAAAAAAGTATTCTATATATATATATATATCTTTTTAGGTATTAAAAAATATATATGCACGGACCACCATTATGATCAGTACTAAGCACTATATATAGGAACCACACAGTCAAACTAAGCCCCAACCCCCCTAACTCAGCCGAAATCCTAAACCCAATCCTCCATCTGAAATCGGGCGCCGAAACCCTAGTACCTAACCTTGCACCCCAATCCTAAGTTACCCTGAGCCCTAGCCGCTCAAAATCCCTACGCTTTGAACCCCTCTGAGCCCCGCCACCTTCAACAAGCCATGGCAGCCCAGACTCGTTTCGAATCGGTCACCCTCCGTGGAGGATCCTCCGTAGCGGCTGTCGTGCTTGGACCTGAGATTTTACGGCATTAGCGGGGTTGCGGGTTTCCAGTACGATTTTGGGTGGCTGGATTTTTCAGAATTCTTGACACCACTCAGGGATTATTGGGTTTCATGGGGCTGGGTAGTGGAGCTTACGCGCCTATTTTTAGATATGAGTCTGAGGCTTTGGGGACGAAGGTATGTAGGCACGATCTTGATAAATGTCTAGTTCTTCTGTAGTTGTAGAAAGCCGGCCTCATCACAAACCTTACGCTGTCCACGAATGTCTCAGCATACCGTGGGAGGCTGCTTTGAGAGTCGGAAGTAGCTGCATCAGCTTCTGAGGGTTGTAATCGCTCACCCTTGCTGTCACCATTACGGGTGTCGTCACAATCCCAGGATGTGAGTTTGACGTAATGGAATCCGGATCTGCACCCTGTGATCCTGAGAGACCTCATGGGCACAAATCTTCATTATGATCAAGCCAATTTCAGGTGGCAGGTTTTTGTCTATTAAGGAAAGTTACCACGAACATCTACCATAATGACGGCATCAAATTGAACCTAGATGCTTAAAAAGCCACACAAGAATACAGGAGCTTGATACGCATATGCGTATATGCTGGGACTCTTGGATAAGACTGCCTTCTTTGCACTCATCCCAGCACTGACATACAGGGGCCAAAAAAAAGAACCTCAGCAAACCCATAAATAGGGATCTCACACATAAGGCCCCTACAGGAAATTAGTAGGGATATCCTGCCCAAAAGCTCATGCTCAGGTTCCATTTTTTGTTGCAAAACATGTTCATCTGCTTGCAGCTTGGGGAGCATGTAGTCACGGCAAAGGCGATAGATCCCCGGCGCATGGTAGCTGGGGTTCTGGCCTGCGCATAGCCCACCGTCGCTCGTACCAGTTTCATAACATCACCCAAAAACACCAAACGACCAAGGGTCGTACCAGTATATGGGCTCATATCCATGATGTATCCCTGAGGTTGACTTGGTGATGAGATCGAGTGGCAATGCGGGTGGGATCTGCAACAACTGCTTTTGTTACCCATGAACACAGCAGAGAGTATGTCTTGCTGAAACTAACCAACCTGTATAGCAGAAATGCAAAGTTGGACGGCCTTGGCATCGTCCCCACCCTTTGCTTTTGATCTCCAAGAATTTGGCAGAGTATATCCGAAGGCTTACCAATTTCATCAGTCAGCTATACGACGCTCTACGAAAAAGTCGCCCGCCTTGAGTGCCCCAGCCACCCCAGCAAGAGCCCAGCTTCACGATTTGGTGACTTCCACTAGGCGACGGCACCGTTGAGCTGAGGTAGAACTGCCTGGGTTTCTGGTGGCGATGTAGGCTCACCCTTCCTATGACTCCCATGACATGAAGTAATGAAGCATGTGGATTCAATTGGGGAATAGTGTCCTACTCCTCTATCGCTTGACTGAATTTAAGTTTGGCGTCCTTTGCGGATTGAGTCCAGTGGTCCATTGCTCAACGTGCTAGAAGCTAGTAACGCACCCTGCAGTGTTGAAAGCGCAAGTCTGCGAAATAGAAAAACCTCACAAGTATGTATCCTTGTTGATGCAGTTTGGATGAGGGTCCTACTGCTCGTCAAAGACTACAGTAAACCATTTCAGAGTGACTTCAGCTATCTCTTCCCACTTCCGCCGCTCATTATCACAACCAGGAGGAAGCCTCAGACCTTTATGTCAGGCTGTGCCCGAAGCCCACAGTCAAACAAGTTTTGCTTCTTCAAGTCAGCGGGCTTGCAGGTGTCGTAAGCCCACTGTCCCACCTCTTCCAGCCAGTCCTCGCCAGAGTGTGAAGCTAATTTAATCTGAGCTGGCAGTTCTGAGCTTGGGAACGCGGTATGTCCGCAGGCAATCTCAGAGTAAGAGCGGTGGCTTGAAGGTTCTTGTTGCGGAGCGTGGGAGCTGTAGTGTGTAGAGCTGAACTTCGCAAGGCCTCTGTCATAGATTTGCTTGGAGGGAGACTTTTAACAGCTTGATATGAAAGTGGGACTAGTTTCAGTTTTAGTGAGGGTAAAGGATTCCCAGGGAAGCAAATCCAACACTATAAAACGACAGCCCGAAACCTCAACCGCAAGCCCCCAAATCCTGGCGAGACAGCCTTTGGGGAAATGCTTAAGCCCAATTCTTCAACTACAAACCTGAACCGATCTTGCTGGTTAGGTCGAGGTTCTGCTAGGATTTTGATGGTCGCAATTCTTCTACCAGCAGTCAAGGGATTTTGCAATGTAATGAAAAACTCAGACTACTTCAGAACAAGCCAACCATCGAACCCTAAACAATACGGCTTGAAGGCTGAATTGTCCGGCTCGCGATCGGTGCCCTCCAGGGCCAAGACAGCCAGCAACCTTGTCGCAGACATTGGTTCTGCTGGGTAAAGCTTCTTCTAAACTATCGCTATGAAACCCTGTGTTGTGCATTGAACAGTATGCTGTGCTTCATCCCAATCCTAGGCTTGGTTGCAAGTTTCAGCCGCTGGGCTCTGTAATGGTGTAATGGCATGGGATTCCTGGAATGCATCTTCAAGAATGACGTAGGTTTCTGGGAGATGAGTATGAAACATCCAATTGGCTTGGCTGCAGGGCTTAACTTTTCTTGAGTTCGCCTCAGCAAGCACAGGTGGTTGGCGTGGAAGAAAAGGGTCCTGACTTCAGAGGCTCTATTACCAGCTTCGTCTCTTACGCAGTTTCGTCTGTTGGGAGCGCGAAGCTGACTCTGCATGTCGAAGCTGAAACATTTCAAGGACTTACCTTCCCCAAAATGACATGGAAGTTGAAAAACGCCCTTGCAAAACCATCGTCCTGCTAAATGGGGTCTATGTGGGGTTTCCATGTAATGTTTGTTTGGGGGAGTGTCGACCACATGGACCTTAAACCCCTAAAGTCAGCCGATGCAACATTCCGGTGAGGGCGTCAATGTCTCCGTCTGGCGCAGCCCCGCGACCGACCACTCGAGTCAAGTCCTGCAACAAACTTGCTTATGGGTTAGTAGGGAACAGAGCAATGGGAAACTTGGAAGCCACTGGGGCGGATTAGGGTGCCGGTGACTTTTTTCGGACGAAGGAATGGACTATTGCGAATTCTATTCCTCCATTCCCAACAAACCAAAGGGAAACAGCAAAATACCCATGTTGCTCTTGTTCAATTTTCGTTGCAGGGCTACAGCGGCGATGACTACTACCATCACTTACATGATCATCTTGACCCTTGTTGCGTCAGCACCAAGTGCCAGGCAAGGGTCCTCACCAAACTTCCAGTGAGGGAGGCATGGATATTGGCCACCACCGCACCTCTGCAGATCAGAAGCAGCAGGCAAAGAAAGGGATGATGTCATCAATTTTAACAACATGCGCGTCACAGCGGTGAAAAAAGGATAGTGGGAAGGTCAACGAGAAGAGAACACTTGCAACTGGACATCAGCAGTCCCTAACCGAAGATCCGTGAGGAAAGCCTAGGCCTAACCACTCCAAATAGATAGAATGAGAGATATGCGAAATATACGAAACTGAGTTACTTATTGAGCCCTGGACATGGTTCTACAAATTTGCCAAAGCGCGTGAACCTACAAAACGACCACATCGCAACGAAGGTACAAGCAGGATTCTTGGACAGCATCTTGCATTCCTTCCTCAACGCTTCGACCCTGAATTTCTGGGGATCCTTCAAAGAAATGGACCCAGGCTGTTTAGAAGCAATGCCCTTTGCAATAAAGATTCTTCTACGGAAGCCGTCAAAACGTACATGAAATGAAGCTCAAGACTTTGTGACTCGAAACTTGCATCTCATCTTCCGCAATCTTGAGAGGCTACGGGTTCCTGTATAGATTATCTAAGGGCCCTGTATCATGATTCCGCCCGGGGGCTGGAAGCCCTCGTCATCTTGGCAGCTTCCACCTGCAGCGCTTAACTCGCACATGCGACGCCAGCCGAGGAAGAGCCTGGGCTTTGGAGGTTTCGTGACAGTTGAAACATGAATTCTGAATTGACCCATGTCGTCTGTGGATTCTGAGAGCCTTGCGTTGCCTCGATCTGCAAAGCAAAGGAAAAAAGAAAACGGCAACGCACTCCGCATGAAGGTCCTCCAAAAGTTTCATGGTAACCCAACAAGATCACCTCGTGTAAATTTTACCATCCTTGTAAACGCCCAATCTTACAAGGACGATCCTCATCTTATTGCATAATCCCGTTGAGTCTCGTATCACCCTGAAAGAAATCCTCTGTAGAATTCCTATAGTCCGTCAATTTGCACCTATACACAACCAGGCCCCCACCAACACAAACAGGAGAAAAACATACCCCGTGATATGCGTACTACACATTGCAGGATACATGATCTTGCGTGCAGAGTTTAAACTAACGAGGCAACCAGCTGTGTGCGTCAGGGGCAGGATCTCTTTGTGGTCCCTCAAGAGTTTGGACTGCCAATTTTTTGCTCCCTCAAGGCCTAGGCTGACGCATCAAACAAAAATTTGCTAAGCATCAAAAAGA